CGGCTCCCCGCTTATGCAAATGAAGCCCGGGAAATTCAAATCCCGGGCTTCATTTGCAATTGCGGATGACTACATTACCCCTGCTAGTTCGAACTAGCGGGGTAGTGTAGACATACCCTCAGATTTTTAGAAACTAAGTGAATTGAGAACTTACTAGAGCAGGGACGCTGAAGCCTGGGAAATAAGGAACAAAGACGTGTAACGAGTATCCACACTTGTGTTTCCCGATGTAGCCTATTCAGGTTTCCTGCATCACAATATAGTGGCTCTACTGACATGTTCGCCCCAGTACGCTTCTTGATTTGGTGTTTCCCCACTCTCACATTTTTAGAAACTGGGTAAATTGGGAACTTACCACAGCAGGGACGCTGTAGCCTGGGCATTAAGGAACAAAGACATATAACGAATATCCACACTTGTGTTTCCTGCAGTACAACACATTGGCATTATTGACACATGGACAATCATAAAATGTGGAATGGGCATTAGTAGGTTGTTCATACCTCACTTCTCTGAACAGTCAAATGTCATTGGTCAGTGTGTGGAGAGTGACCAATACGCTCCACCCATGAGAACAGCCCCCAGCAGTGCATGTCGTGTCTCATACGAACATTGTCTCTCCATCCAGGTATGCTGTGACCATCACCTGAGACCCTGGGTACATACAAGCCATGAGGAATATCCATGTGATACTATTCTATATCTGAGTTAGAAGTTAGGAAAACATACGGTACATACAGGAGGCATTGATCTACCTCGCAGTTCAACCCATTCTCCTCTACTCCATGTCAGAATCTAACACAACCAAGGTCATCAACCCTTCCACATTCATCCTGCAGGGCATTCCCGGACTGGAGACAGCTGATGTCTGGATCTCCATCCCCTTCTGCACCATGTACATTATAGCCATGTTGGGGAACTTTAGCATCCTGTTCATTGTGAAGATGGAGCCGAGCCTCCATGAGCCCATGTACTATTTCCTCTGCATGCTGGCCGCTACTGACCTGGTCCTCTCTACATCCATCCTGCCCAAAATGCTGAGTATTTTCTGGTTCAATTCCAGGGAGATCGATTTCAGTGCCTGCCTCACCCAGATGTTTTTCATTCACTGCACTTTACTAATGGAGTCTGGGACACTCACGGCCATGGCCTATGATCGCTACGTGGCCATTTGTGATCCCCTCAGACATTCCACCATCCTGACAAACTCCATTGTAGCCAAGATCAGCCTGACCGTGCTGCTGCGTGGTGTCATCCTCACATTGCCCTGTCCCCTCCTGGCAAGGCAGTGGCCATATTGTAGAACCAACATCATTCCTGAGCCATACTGCTCACACATAGGTGTGGTGAGCCTGGCCTGCGCTGACATTCGTGTGAGTAGTTACTACGGCCTCTTTCTCCTACTCTGTGTGATGGGGCTGGATGTGATTTTTATTGCTGTCTCCTATATCGAGATCCTCAGGGCCATCTTCAGACTCCCCACAAAAGATGCCCGGCTCAAAACTATTGGAACCTGTGGCTCCCACTTCTGTGCCATGCTAGCCTTCTACATGCCTCTTCTTTTCATCTCCCTTGTAAACCGCCTGGGCCAGAAAGTACCCCTGCATTTCCATATTTTAATTTCCAACTTGTATGTGTTGATGCCCCCAATGCTGAACCCCATCATCTATGGGGTGAGGACCAAGCAGATCCACAACAGGCTGCTCCGGCTCTTTACTCAAAAGGGTACCTAAGGATTTCTCCTGTTTCTCTGGCTCCGAGACTGAGATCAGACAAGAGCTGGGTGGTGACATGGTGCTGGGCCTTCTTCTGTGAAATTCTGACTGGAGAGTGAAAGTGACATTAAACCCTGTCCTAGCCTTACCATGCTGTGTCTGTGGGACAAACCGAGCAATCGGTCTGTGTTCAACTCATTCATTCATGGGGTTGCCCACTTTCTAATTCCTGGTACCTTGCACCCTGAGGTTCCTTTCCCTGCCCCGTTTATTCCTTCAATATTTCCTTCACCTCTTCCCCCACAATAAAACATTTTCTTGTTGTTCTACCCCCATGCCTCAAACCACCAACCCAGTTACTCAAACGATGATCAGACAATCTCTCTCCAGCCATCCATCTCTCCTTCCTAGATCATCTCCACCTCCCTTCCCTGCCATTGCAATTCCGTGTGCTCCAAGGCTGGGACAGGAGCGTCTCCAGACTGACTAAGAGTCTGGTCTGAGAGCAGGGAGGACACAGCGCTGAAGCTGACCGGCTGGGCAGGAGCAGAGAGGAAAGCTAAGAAGCACGTACAAACCCAGTTGAGGGTTGCGGGAAGAGTTGAGTTGCAGTCAGGCAAAATTATGCTACATCGTGCATGTGGGCCCTAACGCTCTGCTACAAAGCCAGGAAAAATGAGTTCAGTGTGTCATTTCCCTTTTTTATTATTCAATACCTCCCTGCTAGGGAGGGTCCCTGCAGTGGGTGTGGGCTGGGCACTTTTTGGCCTGAGCCAGGTCTTGGGAGGCAGGGCAGGGGATCAGCTTTGAAGCTGGGAGGACAACATCTGAGAGAGACAGAAGGAGAAGCAGGGAAGGAGAACATCACATTGGAGCAGCTGGGACATTCTGTCAAGTTGGCGTCATGGGATCCTCTCCTACTGAGGCTACCTCTGCGGGGGATGGAATTCCACATAATATGAAAAAAAACTGGCAATGGGGGATTAAATCATCAGAAACCTAGATAGCTGGGTTTGGGATGACCGGGAGAACCACTGGTGACTTATGTGCAAAGACTGTGGAACTCTTGAGACATCTCGATAGACATATGTGTATTATCAGGGGAAAGCAGGTGGTACATGCAAGTAGTAATGATGTAGGGAAGCCAAATATAAAAGATTGAAGTCCAGGACCTCCAGAGTAGCATTTTCAGAAACACGTTGGCTGAAACAGGAGTCATAGAACACTAGAACTGGAGGGGTCCTTGAGAGGTCGTCAAGTCCAGTCCCGTGCCCTCAGGGCAGGATCAAGCATCATCTAGACTGGGGTGGGGGGCAGGCAAAAGGGCCTCTGCAGGCTGTATCCAGCCCTCCAAGCGGGTTGATCATGTCTGCAAAGGCCCTGCCTCTCCTCTGCCCCAGGCCAATTAGGGCCTTGGAGGCAGGGGGTAGCGCATGAAGTTTCCTCCGCCCTGCCAGGAGCTGGAGGAGACTTCGCCCAGTCTTCCACCCCCAAGTCCTGATTGGCCTGTGGGAGAAGAGGGAGCATGCAAAGTCTCCTCCCACTGCAAGGGGCATGGGCACCTCTGTGGGGGCAAAGGTACTTCCCCACCCTCAGTCAATCATGATCTGGGGGTAGGGAAGGAGGGAAGTATCCTGGCCCCGCCCCTTCTGGTGTGGCCTGGGGCCACTTCAAAAATTTCTGAAGTGGTCCCTGGAAAAAAAAGTATTGCCCACTCCTGGTCTAGACCATCCCTGATAGATGTCTATTTAACCTGCTCGTAAATATCTTCAATGATGGAGATTCTACAACCTCCCTTCGCAATTTATTCCAGTGTTTAACCGCCCTAATAGTTAGAAAGTATTTCCTAATGTCCAACTTAAACCTCCCTTGCTGGTGTTTAAGCTCATTGCTTCTTGTCTCATCCTCAGAGGACAAGGAGAATATTTTTTCTCCCTCTTCCTTGTGACACCCCGTCAGATACCTGAAACCACTATCGTGTCCCCTCTCAGGCTTCTTTTTTCCAAACTAAACAAGACCAATTCTTTCAGTCTTCCCTCATAGCTTGTATTCGCTAGACCTTTCATCTAGCGAACCTTCTCAGGACCTTCTCCAATTTCTCCACATCTTTCTTGAAATGCGGTGCCCAGAACTGGACACAATCCTCCAACTGAGGCCTAATCAGTGCAGAAGAATGACTCCGAAGCATGAAGATCAACAGATGGAAATGCAGAGTCTCAATGGCTGTGTCCAGACTCAGGGGTTTTTTCGGGAAAAGTAGCCTTTTCCCGAAAAAACTTCCCCTGCGTCCAGACTCAAGCCGCGTTCTTTCGAAATTATTTCGAAAGAACGCGGCTTTTCTTTCGATGGCGGTAAACCTCGTTTCACGAGGAAGAACGCCTTCTTTCGAAAGTTCCTCTTTCGAAAGAAGGCGTTCTTCAATGTAAATAGGGCTTCCTCGAAAGAGAGCATCCAGACTCGCTGGGTGCTCTCTTTCGAAAAAGCGGATTGCTCTTTCGAAAGATCCGCCTGCAGTCTAGACGCGATCTTTCGAAAGAGGCTCTTTTGAAAGATGCTTTCGAAAGAGCCTCTTTCGAAAGAAGCCTGCAGTCTAGACATAGCCCAAGTGTGGATGAGATTGTAGTAGAAGGTGGAGGGGGTTAGATTTATTAGTAACTTGGGAACTGTTTGAGAAAGGAGAAGAGTATACAGGAAGAATGGTCTCCACATCAAATTCAATGGGACCATATTGGTATCACTTAAAATTCCCAGGGTGTCAACTCAGAAGGCCAGGGCCCAACAGGGCTGTAGATTCACTTCAAGACAGAGTCAATTAGGAGAGTTGCTTTTATTAATCTCACTATGTGACTACTGTTATAGGCTTAATACTGCCAGATGGCTACACAGCTACTGCAAAGTAATACATGAATAAGTACAGGCAGAGCAATGCATAAAAACGAGCAACAGGCACTTGGAAATGCTTACGCCCCTTCAGTCCGCAAGGAGTCCTGTTCTAGTCACCGAGTGTGACTAACCGGGCCGGGTCTGGGCACAGCTGAGGGCATCTGCTCAGGGCAAATTGCTCAAACTTGGGGCTCCTTACAGCCCCAGACTAGAGACCTTCCCAAACAGGCCACAAACCAGTCACACCGAGCACTACAGCTTCCAATCTGTCCATCCAGAAGCCTCACGAGCAAAACCCCTCAGACACCTGAGCTCTTCCTGTGACCAGGGCCTAGCACACAAATGAGGGGTTATACAACCCAATCTCACCTACCTCAAATGGGTTCGTCTGGTCCCAAGAAACCAGCTACAGGTCCCAATCAATTTACACTCTGGATCTTAACCACAAGATCATGCTGAGCCAATCCGTTACAATCTAAAATCTACTGAATGAAAGAAAAGCAGGAGAGTCAGGTTGTTAAGGAGAATACATCACATGCACCGAATCACCAAGTTCTCATTGCAGGCTCTTAGCAGAGATGTTACAGCCTGCTGGCTTATAAGTCTCTGGTGCACATCCTATCTCAGGATGGGTCCACGGTTCTTTCCGGCTCCTTGTTCCCTGCAAGGCTGCGTTTGGGATCAGGAGCTGAACTGAAGACCAGATGGAGATTTCCACATGGCACTTATATACTTCTCCTGGCATCTTCCTGGCCAGAGTAGGTCACATGGTTCAGGGATCCATCCTTGTATCACATGCTTACCAACTTTTGGGGTACCCCCCCCCCCCCCATGGGTGCAGCAGTGATCTTTAGAATCCAATAACGTGACACCTCGTACCCGGCCACAGTGGATGTGGCTCCAGCTGGGGGGATCCAGGGCACCTTCCAAGGTTTAGATCCCTGGTGAGACTCAGCAGGCATGGGACTCCCTACACCAGCTATGCTTCAGTTGTTTACTGGGTATGCGTGTGCTTGGCTCAACGCCATTCTTGTCACTCTTATGACAGCCAGTTCTCAGCTTTCCCTGCTTGCTTGCTTACCTCAATGAGGGACAGCAAAGCATTTTGTCTCTGCGCGCTCTGGTTGCCCTCACTCGGGACACCACAGCACTCTGCAACATGGAGCCAGAGCTGCCCCTGGGCACTCTGGTGCTTCTTTTTGATGCGTTGCTGTGAGCCTGGCTGCACTTTCTGCAGGATGCCATCCGGGAGGTCCATCGGGGGGCTGTCAGTATCCAGGAGGCCCTGCAGGAGAGCTTCCACCCCGAGGAGCACTAAGAGCCTCCCTGGTGTGCCCCAATGGGGGCTTGTGCCTCATTCCTCCCTCATGTCCTTCCACTTACTCCTCCCTAACCCCCCTTCCTTATGTCAAATAAATTACATGTATTTTCAGGAACACAAACTCTCTTTATTTAACAAAACTGGGGGAGAGGAGAATGAAACTCTGGTGAGACTGGGAAAAGGAGGCAGGAGAGGGGAGAAGAGAGGGTGGGAGAGGGGAGGGGGAAACCTGGGAGGAGGGAGCTGGAAGGGAGACGCAAGGAGAAGAAGGGGGAGGGGAAGCTCAGGGCTCAGGTTTGGGGGTCTCACTGAACCAACTTGATTTTCATGCTAACCTGCTCCTGGGTTCGCATGTGACCTTTGGTGGCCAGGCTGGCAGCTATCCTGCCATAGACGGCCACATTCCTCCATCTAGTGCAGAGATCATGGATGTTGGGGGCATCCCCCCTGAACCTGAATAAGGTCCATGATCTCCACCCTGGATCAGCACCTGCTTTCTCCTGGCCCTGGCAGGCTCCTGGGAGCAGGCAGACTGCTCCTGGGGAGCGATGGAGGGCTGGGCTGCCAGTGGTTTGCTGGCTCATGTTTTGGGGCCACTGGGTCAGGGGCAGTGACTGTTGGCTCTGGGCTGGCAGGCCTGGAGCTGGCACAGGCACTGTGGCCAGAGTCAAACCCTTTAAGGGCTCTGGGGAGGAAGGAGGTAGAGGAGTGTTCTTGGCTGAGGCTGGAGTGGCCACTAGGGCACCCTGGGAAGGCTGGAGGCCCCCTATTTCGAAATAAGTGTCTACTCAGCACTTATTTCAAAATAGCTATT